CTCGCCCTCCCCCCCCCCCCCCCGCCACCCCCCCCCCCCCCCCCCCCCCCCCCCCCCCCCCCCCCCCCCCCAATGCTTCAAGGTAAATAGTCATCCTATTGACCGAGAAGCCGAATGTGAATAGTGCACAAACTTCGAATCTATGATAGGTAATCTCAAGGAAGTATTATGGCGACGAACCTTCCTAAGAGTTCCCCGGTCGAAGGAGATTTTCATCCCAAGAACAGAAGTTCGACGGGGTAAAGAGCAGAAGAGCTATGAGGGAAGATGGGAGCATACGGTACACCCACAGCTGCCCTACCTAATCGAGTGTGTAGAGCAACGGCAACCAACATCGCTGTTCAATATCAGATGTTACCTATTCACAGCCTTTATTTCTACAGTCCGAACGTTTACCTAATTTGCTAATCCTCCTCAAGCCAACAAAAGACAGCCTGTCTTTGGATACATAGGCTGGTAGAGACAGGACAGGATGCTACAATATCTGATAAGAAGTAGGTTATCCTGCAGTGGTAGGTTTCTTGTTCTCTTCTTCTTCCACTGTCACAGTTCTGAGTTTGACTTACCGTTATTGCGCAAGGAGAGAATAAACTCCTTCCTGGCTATGGCTCTATCTATTGCTGGTTATATAGGGGGAAGAATGAGGCGGTGTAGATTGGTCAGCTCTTCGCTGACTAGGTAGTTGCCAGGTCAACACAAGTGAAAACCGTGACATCTACAGCGTACACGAAATATATGCAACTTGTCGCCTACTCCATGATATGCTTCTTTTACCTGCTGCGCAGAAGCCTCGTCCCTTTTGCTACTGTAGATAGCATAGCCGGGCTACTAGCATCACCCCCATGGCCACTGTGTCTCTCTCGATCGTAATCACCTCCACCGACCTCGGCCTAAAAGGGGGATATTTTTGTTTCAGAATCAGAAAGTCGTAACGATTTAACCGTTAACTCATAATACAAGAAAAAAAGACCAAGTGGTTGAGATGGATGAGTCTCCTAGTTCAACTTGTGAGACTACCTAGGGAAGGCGACGCTAGCCACCTAACTAAACTATATATCAACATAACAAGGGGAAAGAGAGTTTGCTATATTTTCCCTGATGTTCCTCCCTGCAGGTTCTTGAGGAGATTACGAGCTTGTGTTTGCCCGTATGTTAGTGTCTAGCCCTGCTTGCCTGCTTGCCTTTCAACGTTTCTTATAGAGTTCGTCCATCAATCTCACTAGCTTTTAGTTTAAACAAGCCTGCTCCGGTTACCGTACTATGATCCGTCCGAGTACAAAGAGGAACTTCGCCCCGTCCCTTTTCTAAAATGACGAGGAGAAGAGAGACATCATTTTGGGTGGTGGGTTAAATGGGAGAGGATACCTGGGCCGCCTGAGCTCAGTCAGATACGTGGTTCTACCCTTGGAGGCAAGTAACTATGTACCATCTATGTAGCGCACATTATGCTAAGCTTGACTTACTCTACACTTGCAAGCCCCTCGAATTAAAAAAAAATAGGGTGTTCTAACGTGGCGAGGAGCTTAATAGATAGGCGTTCCTAAAGCGCTCTCCGCGGACTTTATAGCATCTAGGTATATACCGTACAATGTTAAGTACTAAACAACCCTTTACGTACTTGCTTTAACCATCCATTCTAGTTAAAGTAAACAATACCATTAAACGCCGCATCCTACCAAAAAAAAAAGACATTTTACCATGCTAACACCTAAGAAAACAATAATATCGCAACATACTCCTTTACATGTTAAGATCTAACACATTCCAAACTACTGAATATGTAGCACAAAATGCTGTTGATCTATCATCCGATGATCGGCTCAATGGTCTAGTGGTATGATTCCTGCTTTGGGTTCCACCCTTCTATCTACACATATAGAAATGCAGGAGGCCCCGGGTTCAAATCCCGGTTGAGCCCGTTCTTTTTCTTTCTTTTTCGTCTTCTAATATAATATCTATCTATACTATCTCTTTTGCTTTGTTACCTTACAATTCTTCTTTCCTTTTTTGTCCATCCATCTCTCCTTTTACCATACTCTTCTTCTTTCTATATATATATATGTCCTCTTTCTGTACAGGTTAGGAAGGTGCTTTCTCTTTATAAATGTAGGACAAGTAAGTACAAGGGCAACAAACACAACAGACAAGAGACAAATGCTAACAACCACGGAACCTTATAGACTCTTGATATCCTCTTGCCCTTTCATCTATTATATACCTAATAAGAATTACAAACGGCCGGTTTAGTATTCTACTCCTGTTAAGCAGTGGAGAAATGAAGGAAATCGTATCAGGCTTTTTTTTTTTTGATCTTTATCTTGATAAAAAATTGTGTTCAGTTCAAGTACCAGATTTATTAGGTAGCCGAAAGAAAGCAACTGAAAATGATATCTTCATCTCGACAGAACTAGTAGATATGACAGAAAGATAGGCAGGTCGCATGTATCTTGTGCCGCAAGGACGTCCCTGTCTATTAGCACTTGTCATTCATACAAGTGTGGAAGAAGGGTAGCCGGAGCCGCATACGATAACAGTGCACTGTCGTTTACCCTGTAATATGTCTTGACGTCTTTTACCCCCTTTTCCTGGGTGAATATATGTCCTACATGTACTCGTACTAGTAAACACCCCAAGGGTTATTTTACCCCGTAACCCATTTATTCCAGGGTGCTGTGGCAGTGTCGAGTGCAAGTCATTGTTGCTGGGCCACGGTCTTATCTGCGCAACGGTCGTGTTGGATTACTTTGCAAATACTGGCTGCAATCGGACCGTCATGTTCTCCCGTTTTGTAGTTTATTGGGCTATCAGTGTTATGATGCCCGTGTAAAAGTCTATGCCCTGACTACCGCAGCCGGGGCACATTTGGAAAGCGTATTGAATCAACACTGTCTGCCAAGGGTCTGGGATTGTAATCCCAGCAGCACATAGAATTTCATGGTAAAACTAACCATTTACCCTGATCCGAATATCATTGAATATCAAGCTGTGACCCGGCTAATTGATCGTTACAAATGTACCTCGTCAACCCCGAAAAGACAAGGCCATGTAACTTGAGAACGCTCGCACGACCCGGCCTGGTTTCGTCACAAAAAAAAAATCTTTCTTTTTGGTTTCGTAGCGACATGAGAGGGGGGATCCGCTGGTTGGTACCGGGTATCAATGTAGATGCGTTTATAGCATTGCCGTCGTCACGAAACACTACTTTGATTTATGTAGCTAGTCTCGTTCCATTATCCCTGACCGTTATGACCCATATGAAAACCTTTACGAATCCTTCTTCGCCTTCTTGCCCTTTACCTTCTCGGTACCGCGCAGCGTCTTCATGCGGTTCTTGCGCTGCTTTCCTGTTTTAAGAGATTGTGGTGAGCCAGTCGTTCCAGTGTAGTATTAAAGTACACTGATATAGAAAAATGTCGGCTTGTAAACCTGGAAGATGGGATATGACGTACTCTGTTGTCGAGATGCGCGCTCGGCCTTGGTGGCTAGGCCAGCACGCACCAGGCGGTGCTTGGCATCGAACTTCTTGCGGGCTTCAACCGAATCGTAAATGCAGGCGAAGGCGGTGGTCTTGCCACCACCGTATGCGGTGCGCAGGCCGAAAACGCTGACCTGCTCGGGAGTGGCCTTGTAGAGAGATGCGAGCTTCTCGCCGAGGCTGGCCTTGGAGATACCGGCTTGGTCGGGGTGGATGATATCACTACAAAACGTAGATGCGTTAGGGCCCATCGCAAAATTGGAAGAGGTCGGGATAGGGAGGCGGGGTGTGCTCGGAGGTGCGGATTTGTTGGATTTTCGATGCCCGTCATTCATATCGTTCGTGACCATTCAGGATTTTCCTCCTCTTTCTATGTTTTCCCTCTTCGGATGATGCGGAGATGGGGGGAATTGACTATGACTTACGCGACCATCTGCTTCTACAAGACGATGAGACATGTTAGCATTCCATTTCGAAATTGACGGCGGGGAGGAGTTGACGAACGCGAGCAAGCAGAGGATTCCGCTGGAACTTGCGAGTACGCAGAGTGACTGAGTCGGCCATTTTCGCTGAGGTTGGCTGGTAGCGAGGGTGGTTGAAGTCGTGGAAATGGTGGTATCTGCAGTTTGGCAAAAGTGTTTTTGGATTTTTCGTGACGGCCGAGATGTGTGTTGTAGCGGGGGCTGAGGCACCTGTCCACACCTGGGTTGTCAGGCGAGGGTGGCCAAAGTGGGGCTTATGGAACTTCCCGAAGCATTCCTGCCTCGACGGTGCCTCAGAAGCTCGGGCCACCATTAAACAAGCCCGTCACTAAACCTTCTGTGGCGCAGGCTGACAGGTTTGGAAAATCTGATTGCCCCGGCTTTCATTGAATTTCGCTTATAAGGTTTTCACGGTTAATCAGATACCAAAAGTATACTTTCTAGACAGTCACATTCTAGGGGGAAACAATGAAAAGGGGCCTCTTTGCTACGAAGTCATAGCAACAGCACAACATGTGGTGTTTTAACACCCAGTTGAATATCGAGACAGTTATTATAGAGTCAAGACAGGGGGAAGTGGTTGGTTCAATTTTGTTCATCATCTTTAATTTACTCTTGTGGAAATGTTCAAGAGTTTATTATAGTATTCATAGAGTTTTTACGGCTTTACTGCAACAGCTCGAATCATGCCTTTTCCGAGATCCGCTCTTCCAGCCAGGCCACGGCGACTTCACTTTCTTGTCCGGTTTGACCGACATCATGTACATGGATTCGCCTTTCCGCCTCGCCATCTTCGTAATCATTGTCTTCATCCCACTGAGTGCGTTCCTTTAGCTCGTATTTGTTGACACTTCTCCTCATGAGGCTTGCTAGTTCTTCGGCCTGAATTTGGAAGTCGTTTTTGGGTTTATTCCTTTTCGGTCTTCCCCGGCCTCTTGTCGAAGGAGAGGGCAGATCTGGTGTTTTATCATAGAGTAATAGAACATCTGGGATCTTCAACGTAGATTCGCGCGGAGGATACGCGAGTGGACTCTTGCGTGGATAATAAAGAGACTCGGGCAGTTCATCCTCTTCCTCAGAAAACCAAGACAAGTCAGGACTGACCGCAGGAGACCCCGACGGGATTGCCGAGGCATCAAAAGACGGGGGGACGAGTAGATTAGGCGCGTGGAAGAAGAGGCAAGGGCTAGCAAAGGGGTCGAATAGATCCTGAGGTGTCGTGAATAGTTCCTTGGTCATACGTTTCAGTTGGTGGAATTCGGGATCCCCTGGAGGAGCAAGGATCTCGTCAATCATATTCTGACCCGAGGAGGTAAGCTTGTTGATAGGATGATCAGGTAGGAACATGGTCCAATTGTAAATGCCATTGTATGCCACACAACCACGAACAGCCATTTGATGTTCCGGGTAGGCTTCGGTTAAAGCTAACGTCGTCGCCAGCGTGGCACCCAAATACGAGCCGTATACATAGACATCCCGTCGTACGTCAGCTGCTGGAGCCAGATTCTCAACTAGCCATGTGTAGGCTGTCAAAGTATCGGAAAGGGGTGTTGGCCAGCCTGGGTGAAAGGGCCGATGCACTAGCCCATCAGCCTCCGAGGCATCGTCTCCTACAGGGCTGTCTGGAGATGAGACGTCCGTCCACCGGTAGTTAATGACAGCAGTTGTAAGTTTCCGAGAGAAACTACTGGGAAGCGGTGAGAGACCACGCGAAGAACTTGCGTTGGAGAACGATGGAAGATAGACTAGTAATGGATCCGAAGACGAGACCTTTGCCAGATTATACAGACTAGTATTTGTAGGTCAGGACATACCGACAAGGGTAAAACAGAGTAGGGTTTATAATAACTCACTCTATATCCACACTACCAGAAGACCCAACAGGGACGTTGACCCGTTCCGCATTGTCAACGCTACGCGGGAAGGTGCTTAGGAGTCTTGTCTTGACCTTTGGCTGGAGGGCGTAGACTTTGGACCTCGAAACTCTACGCAAAAGCCATCTCATTGTCCAATAACATTGCTCAGGATACAACTAGACAGAGCGAGGTCTGAGGACAAATTAGAAGTCTACTCATACGACTTAACATCCATTCATCAATCAAAAGAGCTTGGCCGGGGGCGTATCGAGCTCGACACTACTGAGTCTGACAAAATCGAGGTCCGTCGCGTGGTGAGATCGCGTTGTGGGGTCCGACTCGGAATTGGGACGTGTTGCAACTTGCGGATAACAGGGTCTGTACCCACTGTACTCAAGGGTTCTGGGCTTCTGTCTGGGCTTCTACGGTGCGCCCTAGACCGCCCACCTGGTCTACTGTCTGGCATCCCTAGCGCCCCTATTCTGCATGCACTACTGCTCGTGTGATCTTTATGCAGTAGTTGATCTATGCCGTTCTAATGCTAAACTCTGCCAAGCGACGTCATTGGGACAAAAATCTTGGCACCCCTGTTTTTTCACTCTGGTCGTGTAACCTACGAGTGGGTACGTATCTGCCTACAATAGGTTTCAGATGTCCATCAACGGCGAGCACCAACAAGTGGCTTCGATGGCAGCTTCAGTTTTGGGCATTTGAATGACCGGCCAGGAATGCCAGCTGAAAGTAGATAAATATGCCCAAGCCCCGCAGAGAGTTTCTCTCCAGTTACCATATAATATATACTTGCTTAGCGGCAAGCAATGACTCAACCCAACATGAGAAAAGTATAGATCAAAGACATACGTTAGGAAATAGAAGATCTGGTGAAAGAGTGTATGGACATGATTATCATTGTCTACGCCCGTTACCCCTTCTTCGATTAACACTTACAGCTTCAATAAACCTCGAGACGCCTGATCTAGAAATGGGCTACAGCACCTTGAGTTGACACATATTGTTAGTATTCGCTGGGCACCGTACCTACCTACATTAGTACTTCGCCATCAGAGACACGATGGACGATGCAGGCCTCAACGACAACGTAGGG